GCCTAGGGTTTCGTGATGCGATGGAGGAATCTATGGGCAACTTGTTGGGAAGAACTGGATGTGCTTACGCCATCTACCATATGACATCATGCCTTCCTTAATTTTATTCAAATACAAATTTTCAAATTGTGAATAAAATTTTTAAAGGAAAAAGTTTACATACGGCGTTAATTTTATATTATAGAAGTAACGTGCATCTCAAAAATCTACTGGAAGTGGTTGTTTCGATGTCGAAAAGCACTACCGTTGATCATCTCGACCTAGGGATGTATGGCTACGAAAAACAATTCTAAAATCCCAAAAAAATCTTGTAATATATAATCTAGATAATCCATTTTAACATAAATTCAATTGTTTATAAATCTGCCCTATGTACACCATTTTTTTTAGCTTTAAATTTGATAATTAGGAAAAAAAGGTAGAATTTTAGGCCATGGTAAGAGTTATGGTGGAACTTCATCTTTTAACAAGATTTAGAGGTGCATGTTACATTGATTGTTTAAGGTTGATACCTAATAAGAACTGTACTAAAAAACCATAATCCAAATCCTTTTAAGTATTGAGTTTATGGTCAAATTATTTGGGAGTAAACACACTTGTGGGCCTCCGAACATCCTCGATGGATGTTATTAGTGTTAGGCAGTATGTAAGGTCCTTATGCTCTTAGGTCTGTAATTGATATTTCTTATGTGACACTCATTGTGTTTATTTAGAACTGCGCTAGTGGATCTATGGATTGATCATCTTCGTTAATGGATGTAGTCAATTAGTAGCAAACCATAAAAGTTATGATGTTCCTCTATGTTGTTTCTTTTTTTGTTTTCTTTGCTTTGTATTGTAGTTGTTCACTATAAATGGAAAATCGCTTCATGCGGGCTGGTCCGCATTTCAAGTGGTCCCAAGATATAAAGCATCCATCTTAAAAATGGATGCAAATAGGTGGTCCATCTAATAGCAATTGAACTAACGGTTTAAATATTTTCTTAATAGAATTATTATTTCTATTTTTTATAATTTATTTATTTATTCATATTCGTGATTTCCATGTTAAAGATTATATGTCCTTAAAAATTAAGTCAAAAAATCCATCTCAAAAATAGATTTTTAGAAGGTGACGCATTTCAATTGAAGAAACCGTGTCCCAGTTTAAGTGGAGGTCACCCCTTTCTCTTAGGGCAGGTTAGCCTAGTTTGTTATGAGTACAATATTGCTAACATCCATTATGGCTGAAGACAGTCCAATTAGCATGCGCTTTCTAGCAAAATAAAAGATAAAGCATGACGCCAGGAAAAGGTCTACAATTTTTTTTTTTAACCAATAAATTTAAAGTGGAAATATCCACCCTCTAAATGTGACAATAGGTAGGGAAGGCAATGGGCTGGACCTGGGCCAAGCCGCCCCTAAATCCAGCCCAGCTATAGTCCCTATAGGGCTGGCCTAGGTCTCGCCCTAGCCCTATCAGATCAGGGCCAAGCCGGCCGGGCCAAATAAAATTGAAAATAATAAATAAAATAAAAAATGAAACAAAATGAGAAAGGGCTCGGCAAGGTTTTCCTTGGCCCAGCCCTACCCTTGGGCCATGGTTGCAAGGCCTTCCATCCACATTTTATGGCCCAAACCCTAGTTTTTTAGAGTTGGGCTGGCCGGGCCACCTGACTTTACCTCCCTTAACATGTATGCTTGGATTCCACAGCCTCCTCTCTCTCTCTCAAACCAGATAATCCATTGCACCGTTGAGGGGTACAAAGGATTTAATCATTGACCTAAGTAAACTTGGAGTTGTGGTCCTCATAAGCGAAGTGGAATCTTGAAAATTCTGGTTTAGTGCAATAATTAGTGAGTCTATTGGAGAGCAAACTATGATTGCAAAAGGCCAAACTTGAGTCCAAATCGTCAAATCTTGCTTCTTGAAGGTGAAAGGAAGATTTCATGGAGAGCGCACTAGCTAATTAAACTTTTTATATTACTAAAAGTCAGGACAAAACCAGCTAACTCAATGTGACTCTTGAACCAAAGTTTTCCTCTCAAATGCTGAAAGTGCCTGCAAAAGCTTTAGGTGTTGAAAGGCAAAGCGTGAAAGAGAACTTTTATTTCTATAATTCTTAAACTTTTTTTTGGCCTTAATGGGTCGGTTACCTACTCACTTTTCAAAATCTAAACGCCCCACTTATAAAACGGGCCTGCAGCCTAGGCCTAGCCCGGTCCTATTCATGGGAAATTTACCTTTGAAGGCAACACTTACGGGCTTGAAATAGGCATCCGCGGCGCCTTATCGATCATTGTATAAGCATTCCTACAGAGTAGTGCGACATGATGGGGGCAAAGACAGCAGTTGGAGCTTCCCTTTCAAGAGAAAGTGTCCAGAAAGTGAGTGATTCAAGAGCATCAAAGTAGAAACACTATCCTAAAAGCCATAGAAGAACCGGATTGGATTCCTCCTAGTGCATCACGGATCTCTTGGTTGGAGTACTAAAATAGGCATCTCACAAATGATAGAATCCAAAGATGGTGTTTACAAGTAGATAACATATGCTACATTTTCAAATCTGAAAGTGAGAGCCACGAGCTGTTTACCACTTGTAATTTTGGCCATCACATTTACCAGATAGTGTTGTGGAGATTCAATGCTCGATCGATAGCCGCTTTGTGTATTGAAGACCTCATGGTCGATCGGTTCAAACGCAAATTTCTAACAAGTTCCTTAATAAAATGTGGGCAGTACCTCTCCGGTCATCAAATGGATAACTTGAAAAGAAGGAACTGGAGAGTAAAAGAAAATTGAAATCAATCCATTTTAGTGGTGATGGGAAAATAACTTGGAAATCCAAAACTAGCATTCCGGATGCTCACATAGGAATGAGATCGAGAGTCTTATCTTTGAGATTTGGGAACTTCCCCCTCACACCTAGAGCTTTGTGAGCATTGTTGTGGGGAGGGATACTTGTACACAAAAAGCTCTTAAAGCTACTTACTTTATTCCTTTGTATATCCATTTTGTTCTTATTTACCATATTAATGCAATGCATGGGGTACCCGCTCAACCCATCGCTAATTTAGTGAAAACAAAAAAAAAAAATTGTAAAACTTTAGCTTTACATGCATGACTAATCGATCCATTCTCACGGATATACAATTGAGATTATTTATATTTCTTGAGGACGAGCTCGACACAACAGTGGTCAAGGTGACGATGCCACAATGTGATGTTTCATGTCCCATTCTCACCAGATTTTAGGTGAAGATTAAAAATAAGAATTTAACAGTATTTCCTGATGATTGGCATTCACCACCCAAGAAGGGACCAACCATAATCTCTCATCAAGAATGACGGGGGATGAGCACGTCGTGCCTAGTATACATTTCCACTGTTCTAAAGCCCAGCTCAAGCAGTAACTTGGCCAAGTGACTCAGCCAAGTCGAGCGCCAAAAGAAAGCCTGAAACCTAGGAAAACTTCTAAAACATCCTCAAATAAAAAAAAAATCTAAAGAATCATATAGAAATCAAAAAGTCTATGAGCCATGAAATTTGGAGAAAAAAAAAAGAAAAATGAAGCTATTAGCTTGAAAAACAATAGGAAATTTTCAAAAATAAAATTATCAAAAGGTGTAAAAAAATAAAAAACATATATAGTTCTATACAAAACTAACTATAAATAAAGTATAATTGATTTAGTAATAAATCAAATATGTGAATTTCAACTAAAAAAGGAATTTACCTAAAATTTTGAGGTTGATCGCGCATTCAGTGCAGATCGATACCTTCAATCCTTGTTAAAGCTACCTCAAAGAACCCCAATCAAAACCCTGAAACCAATTTGGGTTTCAATTTCAAAGCTAGGAGATCCAAGCTCTTGAAAAATTCAGATGAATGGTAGATCAAAATTCCAAATCTCTCAAATCTAATTTTTTGATTGAAAATCAAGACTATGGTTAGATCAAGAACACAAAATTAGGTTTAGATTTCAAATTTCAATGATGCTTGACCACTGATTAATAAAAAATCGCAATTTTTTAAATTCGGGCACAAACTTGGACAAATGTTTTAATCTAAAAAACATAAGAAATCTAACTCTTTTTTTTATCAAAACTATTATAGGTAATAGATAAAGATCAGACAAATCTCAAATTTTGGCTCAAAGTGGTGAGCTTTTAGGCTTGAGATTATAACTACATTAAAAAATAAAAAGCACCCAAATCTACACCCCTTCCCTGAACAAGTGGTTAGGCTTTTCTTCTTTTTCTTTAAAAAGAAAAAAGAAAAAGAAAATCCACACTTCTTCCCCATTTCGAATTTACGAAATTGTGGAGAATACACGGCTATCGCTCTGGTACTCGCCCAAGTAGCACTCTTAGGGACCTTTTTCTAGACTCGACAGGCTGCCAAACAGAAGCAATAAATCCCAAGTCAAATCAGACGAGTTCTTGAATAGTAATTTCTAGAGAAGATATTGGATCTTAACATTTCGCAAGTATATTGTCATTAATTTTAGGACCCCAATCTCTGGGAATGTAACATCTTCAACCCACAGAAAAACCTCAATGAAAAAAATTCCTAATTAACCATCCAAGCGTGATCTAGGTGTTAAAAAACTCAAATTTCAATTATTATTTTTTTGAGAATAATTATCTAGTAATTCATAGGTGGTTCCTAAAATTTCACATTGAAAAAATCATTTAAATAGGTCCTTTAATTAATGGAGTAGATGTACACTATGCTCAGTACATGCGCTCTTTGACGTGCTCATTGTATCAGTACTAGCGCACTTAGAATGTGCTCCTGCTGAAGGACACGACTTTTCTTGATCTGAAATTTCGCGGTTTAAATTTTCAAAAATAAAAAAATAAATATTTTGGGATCGCATACACATTGATCTGACCTCAAACATCAGACGATCTATCTGCTATCGTTTCTTCTCGACAGTACATCCCAGAATATTATCTTTCAAACCTTGCTATTATTTCTGTTAAAGACATAATCAACTCTCTCTGTGGTATGGGCATCTCCCAATAGAGCACATACTATATGCTCCCTTTTCCATTGCATCATCCCAAGTAAAAGTAACTTCACAAAAATTTAGATAGCTACTTCTAAAAATGCACATGCAAATAGACATGCAGAGAGAGAGAGAGAGATAATAATAATGAGAAGAACAGCTTTCAAAAGAAGAAAGAATGTCCAGGCATGTTACTTACTAACAGCTGTTATATGGAAACCCCTCTCACTAATAACAGTATGTGAAAGCTTCAATCTAATGGCCTCAACTTCAACAGCCTTCCTCTCCTCATTACTCAACCAAGAAGAGAGATGAAGGGTGAACATGTCTCCACCTTCATTCAAGACGGTGTTTTCAAATGTCATGTCCCCTTTAAGGCTTTTGAACTTGGAAATCTCTGAAACTTTATTTGGGTCCTCTTCGGCAAAACTGAGAAGGATGCTCCTTATTGCATCGCACCAGATAGGCCGGGCTCGCGTAAGAAACTCATGCACCGCTACAACTGGAAGGTTCACACTACCCAACTCAGATTCATCATGGCCACCTCTTCCATGAAAATCTGAACCCCCAAGCTTTAGAAGCTCGTAAGCATCCGCCAAGTCACTGAATGCTGTAATCAAAGAAGACACATAAGCAAGGCTGATGGTGCATTAAACAAGAGGGCATTGGATCTCTCTCTCTCTCTCAAACTCTCTCTCTAACAAAAGCTTTATTTCAAGGAAAAAGTACAGCATGCTCAAAAGCCATCATACCAGTACGGTCATCAGGATCATCATCATCCAACCGATGGCCATCATGGTCATCATCATCCAATCTATGGGTTGGACGGTGGAGGGAGAGGGACAGGGATACACAATTGAATTAGTCGTATACGTTGGACCCACTCTCTCCCCTATCACCATCTAATCCATTAGTAGGATTGTGATAATCTTTATAATGATGTTTTTCCTTGGTCAAGTTCTTATTACCAGGTTGTCTATGCATCATACTATTCTGCCTCTAGTTCTTAAGCATTGCTTCATGAAGACTCTCTCTCTCTCTCTCTCTCTCTCTCTCACACACACACACACACACAGACGCTCACAGAGTGTATTAGTTTTAGGACTTCACTAAGTTTTCAGTTATGTTTAGACTATTTGCACAAGCTCTATCAGTGACAGAAAACGACATGTATTTGCCGATGATGACACTATCATTTACCAGCTAATCGACCATCGCTCCTGTAGACCTCCATTGCATGAAGGCCAGATGCTTTCAAGCTCCTGATTATGGGAATGGGATTCTTCAAAGCCCAAGGATGTGCCAAAGCCGCCACACCCCCAGTTCGACATATTAGTTGGACCGCTTCCTCTACAAGAAGCTCATTTCCCCTGCATTCAAATGTTGGGGCTTAATTCAAATTCCAAATACATGCACATCAATATACATACATCTAGACACTAGATATATACCCTCCTTAGGCAAAAAACTCCATAGAGGGCCAATGTCCGCAAACCAAATGGGTGTTTCCAAAACCAAATAATTTCATCCCCATACAGGTATGTGAGTGTGTCTGCGGATTGTGTACTACAGCATGGAGTCTCACCATCCCATGGTTACTGGAAATGAAACGTTCCACCACCTGAAAAGACTCTGGTGGAGGAATGGTTCATCTCCAACATTGATCATTGAGAACAGTGGAAACTTACATGCAGTATACAAATGATATGGCAGACATACACACAAGCTCATATGCCCAGGAGCATATATAGTGTTTGGGAACACTAGACATCCCTGAATCTTACCACTCCCACTCAAATATGTTAACTTGCACTTGAAACACACAGTAGTCAATGTAGTGTACCTCTTCCGTTTTGTACACCCCATCAAACTCTCTCTCTCTCTCTCCCCCTATACTCTATACTACTACTACTATATATATATATATAGTAATTAATATAA